TATATGTGTCAGCCAGGACTCCCTGATTGGACCAGATTAACAGCCCCAATCAGGGAACTCATATTCTATGAGATCAACCTGGCTGACCTTGTTCCAATCACTATACAATTAAGTGGGCAGATATTTATCCTGAAAACTTGACCAATATCAGACTTTAGCTACACAGTATAAAAGTTAAAAAAAAAATTGCATTCACAATAGTGCATTCTCAACCACAGTATATTCACTGTTGTAAATTAGGAACCATGTAAGCCAATTTGCACACTTCAAACTCCACCACAGTGCATTATGATAATGACCGGATAATTTTCTTTTTGTGATGCTTATGAAGGGCTAAATATTATTTAGGATACCAGGGATAACTCCCCTGTTCTTCTTCAGAATGTTGGCATCAGATCTTTCATCTCCACCCAGAGAGGTAGCTGAGATACCACTTAACAGCTTCTCTGAAAACACAGCATTGGAACAGGAAGTTGATGATGTTAACATCATCATTGTGCGCCAGCAACAGGATGTCAGCACCTAGTCAACCCATAGGCACATGTGCAGGGTCAGTGACATCATCATTCTGCATCCATTGAATGCTTGCCACCCACTTGCAGTGACCGGTCCAGACGGTGAAGTGACAAGTTGGGAATGGGATGGTGAACAAATTACAATCCCCGGATTTTTAAATCGATATTTTGGGGATCAATACTCTGTGGAAAAACTGCATAAGGCTGGCAAAGTAAGACCACACAATATTTAAGACTCTGCTCATTGGAGACACTGTTGAAAAATAACTCATTTTATTGGTGCTGCACTTGTTGAAGTATCATTGCACTTCTCACCATTACAGTTAGTGCTGTTTTCAATGCAGGCTGCTACCTGCAGTATCACAGGCACTGTGATTGTGTCCCTTGCAGTTACAGTGGCAGCAAACATATCCACCCAAGAAACAGCACCTCTGGCAGTACAGTACTCCCTCAGTGCATTGTCAATTTTGGCTTTTGTGTACTGAAATGGAACTTGAACCAAGAGCCTTACTTCAGAGACAAAAGTACTTCTATCTGAATGAATTTGTTGCCAAGGTGTACCTTGCTTCTCTGTGGGAAGACGTTTGAGCATTGCTTTGTATTTCTTCCCAAGGACAAAGCCAACGTCATGACCTTTCCAAGTGGAGGTTTACTATGGCATCAAACAGGAAACCCAGAACTAGCAGCAAAGTGCAATAACAGTGTACCTGTTTAAACATAATGCTTTTGAGATTTTTTTACTGGAAATATAAAATTAGTTTTAAATTTTCATCAAAAAAGACTCAAAAGCATTATGTTTAAACAGGTACACTCTTATTGCACTCTGCTGCTAGTTCTAGGTTTCTTGTTGGATGCTATAGTAAACCTCCACTTGGAAATGTCATGATGCTGGCTTTGTCCTTGGGAAGAAATACATTAAAAACATTTTACATTTAAAATTGACAGAATTCTAAAATGATTTTTAAATACTGTACTGCAAACTAAAAATGGTGGGTTGGAAATGGTTTTCCTGTGACAAAACTTTGTGAAGAAGTAGTTGAAAATGGGAAAGACACTTTAAATGTTGCTTCTATGCAAAAAGTCCAGACAGATGTGCTGACCCCACAGTTAATGTTACTGTTAATAACGTTGGATATTCCAGTGTCTGTAAATACAGATGGCCCTTTGCTTACAGTTTTCTACAGAGAAGGTAATGAATTCCTCGAGAAACCACAGGTCTGGACTTGCATTTGTTCACAAGTAACTGATACTTGTTATGCATAAATCTGGTAACAACCTACAATGCTGCAGTCAGCTAAGGATAGAAGGCAGTTGTCATCCACCTGCAGTATGGTACTGCTATTGGAGATGGGTTGCAGCAATGGGCTTAACTCATTGGGGGCTTCCTTTGTAAAGTGCAGCTTCCACCAGCCCTTGCAGAGGTCAACTCTAGATAAAGGAATCTTGCTGTTTATATTCTGAAATAGGGGCACCGGCGGGTAGGTGCCAAAAACGTCAATTAGTACCTGACCAGTCCCTCATCATCCAATTGCTCATCTTCCTCCAAGTAACAAAAATGTTCATAAGAAACACACAGTGGTAATGTTGGGGTTAGGGTATAATAATTGGACCCCTAGCGCAGAAAGCATACAGGTGGATATTGACAAAATTGACAACAGTTTTTTAAAAAATTATAACAGCTAATATCATGTTTAAAAAAAGCTACTTAATTTTATAACAGGAGCTGGACCCTTCAAATATATTTCCATATCTTATAAGCCTGCAACAAAAGGTGCATTTTCTACAGTTGTAATTTGTAACCTGCACTAATGAGCCAGTAAACTCTAGAAAGTGGAAACCACATCACTACTCCTGCTCTTAACAATGATTGCCCCTTTGTAGGGCAGTCATGTCTGTTCTGTGTTAATGAGGCAGCAGTCTGGCCAGAATGGGGACATGATTAAAGTGCCACTAACATGGTTTTGAGCAGCATGCAAGTGACTCATGGTAGAAATAAATTGACTACAGAAGGCAAAGCCAAATATCCCCCTTTTTACACAAAAGACGTTGAATGCCTCAAAATGGACATTGAATTGTCCATGTTACGCAAAATATATATGACTGCTCTTATGCATTAGCAATTTGTTATTCTCTTTAGCCTCTGCATTTCCATTGCATGAAGTCTTTAAGCCATGCTTCTCTCATAATGGCATGTGAGAGTGGTTGTCGGGTGTTCATCTGAGTGATGTTCCTTCCCCCGGGGAATGTCGTAGCCATGTCATTAATTGTTGCTGTGATACCTGTTGTGATTCATTTCTGTTGTTGGGTTGCTGTGGATCTCATGATTGATCTGTGAACTGCAAGGGTGATAAGTTCATATCTTCCTGATCAGCTGCTTGCAGATGAGAAATAGTTTCTCCAGTTGAGTGTTCGTGCCTGCAGCTGCGTCATTATATCTGGTTTTACACCTCCATTGCATACAATCAAGATGACAACCACTCTACACAGGCCCCGAGTTGACACTTGGACTGACTTTTGTAGAGAGCATTGAAGGTATGTCGTCTAACATGCTCTTCAATGCTCAATTCTGGCAATGGTTTAGCAGTCATGTTGAGGCAAAATTTGACATTCTGCTGTTTCATTTTGATTTTCTCACTCAAACTATTAATACTTCTGGCTAAAATAACTCTGTTGCTTTTGGAAGAACAGTCCAGTTGTGACATTAGACTTTTTATGGACTACTTTCCATGTTTTCAGTAGGTGTGCTTCTCCACCTGAGAACTGCCTCATACAAGTCTTTATTGGATTTGCACAATTTCTTTCAGATCCATTTGCCGATTTTCACTAATACCCCAACTTTTCCATTTGACTGGGGATGACACATAGTGCAGAATTTCCCAATCTTTTGTGAAAAGGCTGTGACGAAAAGGTTTTTTTTTGTGGGATGTGGGCGTCGCCAGCTGGCCAGCATTTCTTGCCCATCCCTAGTTGCCCTTGAGAAGGTGGTGGTGAGCTGCCTTCTTGAACCGCTGCAGTCCACCTGCTGTGGGTCGACCCACAATGCCATTAGAGAGGGAATTCCAGGATTCTGACCCAGCGATAGTGAAGGAACGGCAATATATTTCTAAGTCAGGGTGGTGAGTGGCTTGGAGGGGTACTTGGAGGTGGTGGTGTTCCCATATATCTGTTGCCCTTGTCCTTCTAGATGTAAGTGGTCGTAGGTTTGGAAGGTGCTGTCTGAGGATCTTTCTCAGGGAGGAATTCCTGTCTGAGGAATTTCTGCAGGGCATCTTGTAGATAGTACATAGTGCTGTTGCTGAGCGTCAGTGGTAGAGGGATTGGACGCTTGTGGATGCAGTATGAATCAAGCCGGTTACTTTGTCCTGGATGGCGTCAAGCTTCTTGAGTGTTGTTGGGGCTGCACTCATCCAGGCAAGTGGGGGTTATTCCATCACACTTGTGTGGTGGACAGGCTTTGCGGAGTCAAAAAGTGAGTTACTCACTGCAGTATCCCTAGCTTCTGACCTGCTCTCGTAGCCACTGTGTTTATGTGGTGAGTCCAGTTAAGTTTCTGGTCAATGTTAATCCCCAGAATGTTGATAGTAGGGGATTCACTGTAGAATGACAAGGGATGGTGGTTAGGTTGTCTCTTATTTATGACAGTCATAGCCCAGCATTTGTGTGGCATGAATGTCACTTGCCACTTGTCAGCCCAAGCCTGGCCATTGTCCGGATCTTGTTGCATTTGAACATGGACTGCAACAGGAGTCAAGGAGTCGCGAATGGTGCTGAATATTGTGAAATCATTGGCAAACATCCCCACTTCTGACTTTATGATGGAGGAAAGATTATTGATGAAGCAGGTGAAGATGGTTGATCCGAGGACACTACCCTGAGGATCTCCTGCAGAGATGTCCTGGAGCTGAGATGACTGACCTCCAACAACCACGACTATCTTCCCATGTGTCAGGTATGACTCCAACCGCCAGAGAGTTTGCCCATTGATACCCATTGATTCCAGTTTTTCCAGGGCTCCTTGATGCCACACTTGGTTGAATGTAGCCTTGATGCCAAGGGCTGTCACTCTCACCTCACCTCTGGAATTCAGCTCTTTTGTCCATGTTTGGACCAAGGCTGTAATGAGATCAGGAGCTGAGTGGCCCTGGTGGAACCCAAACTGGGCATCACTGAGCAGGTACTGCTTGCTAGCACTGTTGATGAGACCTTCTATCACTTTACTGATGACCGAGAGTAGACTAATGGAGCGGTAATTGACCAGGTTGGATTTGTCCTGCTTTTTATGTACAGGACATACCTGGGCAATTTTTCACATTGTCAGGTAGATAGTAGTGTTGAAACTATACTGGAACGGCTTGGCTAGGGGAGCAGCAAGTTCTGGAGCACAAGTCTTCGGTACTATTGCTGGAATATTGTCACGGCCTGTGTACCTGTTAATATCATGTTTTAGTGTTTGGATTTCAAACTAGTGGAATACTATTGTCAGTCTATTTTGTGAATATGTTTAATAACTAACCAGGTCAGTCTTTCCAAAAACATGATTTTAAACCAAAATGGATCAGACAGCAGATGATTGATGGCATCCTGGAGTGTTAATAGAACTTTGTTTATCCTGTAGGCATCTAAAACAAGGGAGAAAAAATATTGAAAGACATCAGCTTCCTTTTGGATTTGGAATAATCAGGCATTGATTTTAGCTTAAAGAACCCACACATTAGAAATCTTTAAGACAGTTCACAGAAGACCTGACTGGAGTGCTTATATTTCCATGAAAGGCTGTCATGTTAAAAAGAAATGATCTATCAAGCCAGATTTCATTTTGGAATCTGACTTACCCAGCAGTAACATCAGCTGTGATCATAACAAGTGCTGAATTCTTCACTCATGAACTGAGACCATTGACACTCTTAACAATGTCAGGAACACCACAGCAGCTAACGTGTGCTTTCAGGCATTTGACAATCTCACCAGTAGCCAATAAAGTGTTCACCTCCCAGTAGTCAGCATAGTGATCTACATTGACATAGCAGTCTATATCTTCGGTCAAATATGCTCTTCTAGCTACAGGTCTTTCCTTGATGCTTTTGGGCCATTCTTTCATCACTACTTCTTGCAACACGAAGCATTGCATTTGTTTGTTTAATTCCATGTCTCTGTTGGATTGTTGACTTCCAATATATGACAATCTGCTGCTTCATTAGATCAAAAATATTTCACATTCTATATCCTCTAGATTCTTCATCAGAAGTGCTGCTCTCAAGAGCATGTCTGAGATGTATATCTGCTTTGCTTGTTACTATGCCACATCCCTGTATCTCTGTAACCATAGTAACATTCTCAGAAGATGCTTTGGAACAGATAATAGCAGCTTCAGGAAAATGCTTTGAAGTAGTTTATGGGTTAGAGTCAACCGACTCTTTGCCTGTTATAAGTTGGTATTAATGAAAATGTTCACAAGCAAAGACAGGGCTACGCTTTCTCAACTGGAGCACAGTGCTGCTCCATGTGTTAACACTCTGGATGCAAATACAATTAGTTAGATTAGGGTTGTTCCAAGTCCTGTGTCACTAGCATCACATTACAGGGTGACTTCATCATTTCCTCCAGAGCATTTGAGCTTGACCTTGCTTCACTAGGTGCCTTATTTTAGTGAATGCTGTTTCTTGTTCCATAACCCAATACCAATAAACATTGTTTCAGAGATAGTAGGAACTGCAGATACTGGAGAATCTGATATAACAAGGTGTAGAGCTGGATGAATACAGCAGGCCAAGCAGCATCAGAGGAGCAGGAAAGCTGAGCTTTGGGCCTAGACCCGTCTTCAGGAATGGGGGAG